GACAGAGATCACAAGTAGGCAGAGAGACAGGCAGAGAGAAAGGAAGGGAAGCAGGCTCCCTGCTGAGGAGAGAGCCTGATGCGGGGCTCGATCCCAGGACCCTGGGATCATGACCTGAGCCGAAGGCAGAGGCTTTAACCCACTGAGCCACCCAGGTGCCCCCACGGCCGTATATTTTCATTTCTCTTGAGGATATATGTACCTAGGAATGGAATTGCTGGGTCGAATGGTAGCTATATGCAGTCATTTGGGGAGCTGCCAGATTGTTTCCCGAAGCAGCTGTACCATTTTACACTCCCCCAGCAATATATGAAGGTTCCAATTTCTCCACGTTCTCACCAACACTTGCTATTTTCTGACGTCTTGATTCCAGCCATCCTAGTGAGTGTGAGGTGGTATCTCATCGTCATTTTGATTTGTATTTCCCTGATCATTAATGACGCTGAGCACCTTGTCATGTATTTATTGGCCATTACCAGTTCATTTCTTTTTATTGGGGGGTGGGGGAGCAGGGAAGGGGGGAGGGGCAGAGGGAGAGGGAAAGAGAGAATCTTAAGCAGACTCTATGCCCAGCACGGAGCCCAATGCAGGGCTCGACTTCATTATCCTGACATCATGACCCCAGCCGAAATCAAGAGTCAGACGCTTAAATGACTGAGCCACCCCAATGCCTGTTACTACTTCATTTCTTAGGGGTAGTTTTGCCAGATATGGCAGGGTCAACAGTTCTTTTCTTTGAGTACTTAAAAATGTTGTGCCGGTGTACCTCGGTGGCTCAGTCAGTTAGGCAGCTGACGCTTGATTTTGGCTCAGGTCATGATCTCAGGGTCCTGGGATCAAGCCCTGCATCAGGCTCTGCTGTCAGTGGGGAGCCTGCCCGAGGATTCTCTCTCTCTCTCTGCCCCTCCCCCCAATATAAATAAATAAATAAATCTTTGGGAAGAAAAAAGGAAAAATGTTGTGCCATTTGCATCTCTCCTTCATGGTTTCTTTCTTTTTCTTTTTAAAGATTTTATTTATTTATTTGACAGACAGAGATCACAAGGAGGCAGAGAGGCAGGCAGAGAGAGAGGAAGGGAAGCAGGCTCCCTGCCGAGCAGAGAGCCCGATGCGGGGCTCCATCCCAGGACCCTGGGATCATGACCTGAGCCGAAGGCAGAGGCTTTAACACACTGAGCCACCCAGGCGCCCCTTCCTTCATGGTTTCTGATGAGAAATCCGTTGTCACTTTGTTTTCTGCCCATAAGTAAGTTGTGGTCTCTCTCTAGCTAATTTTAAGGTTTTTTTTTCTTTGTCTTTAGTTTTCTTAAGTCTGATTGTAATGTGTCTTGGTGTAGATTTCTTTGGCTTTTCCTCTGGGGGTTTTCCTCAGTTTCTTGAAACTTGTACGTTGATAATTTTTGTTAAATTTGGGAAATTCTCAGCCAGTTTCTTCAAATATTTTTTCAGCCCCACACTTGTTCTCCTCTCCTTCTGGGACTCTGATGACACAAATGCCCGATCTTCTATTATTGTCTCACAGGTCCCTGAGGCTCTGCTCATTTTTTTTCCAGCCAATTTTCCTTTCTGTTCATATTGGATCATTTCCATTGTTCCATTGTCAAGTTCTCAGATTCTTTCCTCTGTCCTCTCTATTCTCCTGTTGAGCCCACAGTGGAGTTTTAAATTTTGTCAATGTTATTTTTCGGTTCTAAAATTTCCATTCAGTTTGTCTTTGTATCTTTTCTTTCTTGGCTAAGACTTTCTATTCTCAAATTTCTTTTGAGTATGTTGAAACATTTTTATGATAGCTGCTCTAAAATTCTTGTCAGATAGTTCTAACATCTGTGTTATCTCAATGTTGATATCTCTTGATTGTCTTTTCTCATTCCAGTCGAGATTTTTCTGCTTCTTCTCATGATGCCTGATTTTTCAGTTATGTCCTGGATATTTTGGGAACTATGACACTCTAGATTTTATTTAAATGCTGTGTTTAACAGGTCTCCTCTGACACTGTTCTGCTAGAAAGGAAGAATCCTCTTCTTCTGAAGAAGATTCTGAAAAATGCTCCTTATTGCCAGGTAGATGTAAAGTTCAGGTTCCCCAGCTGACCTCCTTTGACACCCCAGAAGGAAACAAGCACCTTGTTGCTACTGGGCAAGGGTAGGATTTCAGGCCTTCCCACACACCACGTCTGACACCACCCTGGTGGGAAGGCAGAGGACACCTTGTTATCAAGTGGGGATGGAAGTCCAAGAGCCCCACGCAGCCTAAACTGATACTATGGGCAAGGGGTCTCGTTACCCCCAGGCCGGGATGAAAATCTAGGCTCCCCATTCAGCCTTTGCTGATGAGAATGGGAGTAGGAGCACAGTTCTTTTACGTGATACTTGGCTGGAACAGGGCGGTATTATTGAAGTTTTTCTCTCTTGCTACGTTGCCTTTTCCCTGGTACTTTAACACATGAAAGCAGGCTTTCCTGGGGCTGTTCTCAGTCTATGCCAGTTGGCATTCTAGGTTGCCAGTTTCTCTAGCACCTAGTCCAAGATATGTGGGGCAAAAAGAAAATGGGGAAATCACCACTGTGTCATTCCTCAGGTTCCGACGACCATGGCAAGTTTGCCTCCCTCTCTCCAACTTACAGAGTACCCTTATCTTTGTTTTATATATAATGTCCTGAGGTTTTAGCTGTACTCAGCAGGAGAAATAGAGAGAATTATGTCTATTCCATTTTGGTCCCATCGGTGATTTTTAACTTAATTTTTGAATAGGTAATACATTCACATGGTCTCTCCCCCAACTCCCCAGATCTCCCTAGCCAGAAAACTGGTCTTGGGTCGTGTGTGTGTGTGTGTGTCTGTGGCGTGGGGGCCGGGGTGGGGGATGTAATATGCTTAGGGATTATACAAATGAAAGGCACTAAGAAGATACTCTTTTTTAAAGATTTTTTTATTGATTTATTTAGAGAGAGGGAGCACAAGTGGGAGGAAGGGCAGAGAGAGAGGGAGAGAGAGAATCTCAAACAGACTTGGCACTGAATGCAGAGCCTGACACAAGCCATGACCCCAAGATCAAGACCTGAGCCAAAATCAAGAATCGGTCACTCAGGGCTCCCGGGTGGCTCAGTCATCAAGCATCAGCCTTCGGTTCAGGTCATGGTCCCAGGATCCTGGGATCGAGCCCCACATGGGGCTCCCTGCTCAGCAGAAAGCCTACTTCTTGCTCTCCCACTCCCCCTGCCTGTGTTTCCTCTCTTGCTGTCTCTCTCTGTCAGATAAATAAATAAATAAAATCTTTGTTTTTTATAAAGAAAATCTTTAAAATAAAAAAGCATCAGTCACTCAACCAACTGAGCCACCCAGGCATCCCCGAAAATATCCTTTTTTATAAGTTTTTATTTATTTATTTGACACAGAGAGAGAGAGATCATAAGTAGGCAGAGAGAGAGAGGGAGAAGCAGGCTCCCGCTGAGCAGAGAGCCCCATGCCGGCCTCGATCCTAGGACCCTGAGATCACGACCTGAGCTGAAAGCAGAGGCTCAACCCACTGAGCCACCCAGGCGCCCCCCAGAAAATATTCTTAATATTTTTCACACAGAGGATAGATACTGTTACTATTATGTTGAACACTGGTTTTTTAATTACTATTAATTTTTAACTTTTTATCATGAAATATTACACACATTTTGAATAATGCTGCTATAAATATTCTTGGCCATGCCTCCCATTGCACATGTACACATATTCCGGTTGGGCATATTGCCACGAGTGGAATCACTGTGTTCTCGCATATGCATGCTTTAACATTACCCAATAAAGATAAAATGCTTTCCAGCAAAGTTGCACCAATTTAGATCACCATCAGAAATATGAGAGTGCTTATCACACCACATTCTCCTCAATACTTCATACTATCGGTCTTTTTCATTGAGGACATTCTAGGGATTTTATAGTGGTATCTCACTAAGGGTTTTTTTTTTTTTTTTTTTTTGATTTTTTTTATTTTTTTGACAGAGAGGAGCGCGCACAAGCACAGGGAGCAGGAGAGGGGGAAGCAGGCTCCCGGCTGAGCAGGGAGCCCGATGCAGGGCTCCATCCCAGGACCCCAGGATCATGACCTGAGCAGAAGGCAGATGCCCAACCAACTGAGCCACCCGGGCGCCCCTCACTGTGGTTTAAATTTGCATTCCCTGGTTAACTAAGGTTAAGCCCTTTTCATGTTTACTAAAACCTTGATTTTCCCCTTTTGTAAAATGCCTGTTCAAATGCTTTGCCCACTTTTCTACTCGGTGATCTTCTTATTGGCTTGTAAGAGTTCTTTACATCCTCGAGATATACACCCTTTGACAGTAATAGGTGGTGCAGATATCTTCTATTCGGTGGCTTTCCTTTTCTTCTCTTACAACACTACCTTTTAAATGAATAGAAGCTTTAAAATTTATGGTAGCCAGATGTCAATCTTTTTCATTATGGTTAATGTTTTTTTTTGCATCTTGTCTGAGAACTATTTTCCTAATCTGTGATCATAAAGACACTTGTCTATATCATCTTTTTCCTGTTTTGTTTTGTGCCAAAACCTGGGGATGAATTTTCTGTATTGTCTTTAAAGGCTCTATTGCTTCACCTTTCCCCCTATATGTTTCTTGTTATTCAATTTCTATTTTATTCAATTCTGTATTGCCTTGCCTGGCACGTGATCAATCAGTACATGTAGGTAGTACCCACATTAACTAGAGGACTTAAAGAGAGCCTATTTTAATCCTCATGTTTGCAAAAGAATGACTGACTATATAAACAAATGAACGTACTACATACACAATGAATGTCAAGCTACTTCAATAAGTTTTTTTCTCTCACAGAATGAAATACAAAACCAGGTACTGAGTGAAAGCCCTATGTGGTACATTACGATAAAACATCATGAAAAAACGACTTCCCATTTGTCTTCCTTCCAACCTCCCCCCCCACCGCCCACCGCCCCCTGCTGACCCTGTCGCCTTGAACGGGACTGTGCTGTTACAGGTCTCCGTGTCATTCGAGGATGTGACTGTGGACTTCAGCAAGGAAGAGTGGCAGCAACTGGACCCTGCTCAGAGACGCTTGTACCGGGATGTGACGCTGGAGAATTACAGCCACCTGCGCTCAGTGGGTAAGCACAGCTGCCCTGTGTGCCTGCCAGGCGCCTGAGTGTGGCTATTTCCATTCTCAGCTGCTGGGTGTTCTGGAACATCTTGAGTGTGTGATGGGGTCATCTTTGATCTGTCCAGGATTCTTCAGTCCCTTTTCAGCACTCATTATTACTCTGTTGCCAATGAAATGTGCTTACTTTTCTGGAGAGCAAATGGAAATGTCATTGAAAGTCCCCTGAAATCCAATCAGCTGGACCCGATCCTGTACTATGTCCTGTTAACAGGGTGCCTGGTTCCCAAACCAGAGGTCATCTTCAAGTTGGAGCAAGGAGAGGGGCCATGGACATTGGAGGGGGAAACCCCACATCAGAGCTGGTCAGGTGAGTGAGTGTGACTCAGGCAGATGGGGGACATGGAAGCAAATCTCATTTTTTCAGGAAGAGGCTGATAGCTTTGAAAGGCTGTGAAGATAACCTGCCAGCAAGTTCTAAACTGCCTTTTTTTTTTTAGGATTTTATTTATTTATTACACGGAAAGAAAGAGCAAGAGAGCACATAAGCAGGGGAGTGGGAAGCAGCAGACAGAGGGACAGAGAGACAGAGAGAAGCAGGCTCCCCACTGAGTAAGGAGTCGGATGCCGGGCTTGATCCCAGGGACCCCAGGATCGTGTCCTGAGCCAAAAGCAGACGCTTAACCAACTGAGCCACCCAGGTGCCCCAAAAGTTCTAAACTTCTATAGTTTATTGGAGATAGTTCACGGAAGCTCCTTTGATACCTGAACAGTTTCTCCAAGTACAATCCTTGCAAATAGCCATTGTCTTCATTGCTTGGCATTTTGACGAGAGAGCTGTCTCTCATCTCTGTGTCCTGGATCACATACCTCCCACCCTATCTTATCTAAGATCTGTTTTTTCTTCCTACTCCGCTCCCACCCCCTTTCTCTTAGATTCCTTCCTTGCACATTCAGACATTTTAACATTTCTTCCTTTTTATTCCAGTTCCGCATGTTCATTCCAGGGGTAACGGAGTTACTGTGTTTATCTGTGAATTTGTGTGGTAATTGTTAAAAGCCAGAAGTATGGGTTTATGAGCCTATTTTTAGTACATATAAATTATATTGTGCCCCAGGTCTTTTTTTTTTTTAAGATTTTATTTATTTATTTGACAGAGAGATCACAAGTAGACAGAGAGGCAGGCAGAGAGAGAGAGGGAAGCAGGCTCCCTGCTGAGCACAGAGCCCGATGCGGGACTCGATCCCAGGACCCTGAGATCATGACCTGAGCTCAAGGCAGCGGCTTAACCCACTGAGCCACCCAGGCGCCCTGTGCCCCAGGTCTTAATTCTGTTCCTTTTTTTTTTCACTCATCCATAAGGTCTGTCCGTATTACAGTGTGTTCATCTGGCTTCATTCCTTCAAACGGCTGCATAATATTTTATTACTTGCCCCTTTTTCCAGCCTTCTCGTCTTCCTTATACCCCCCAGCCATGAGGTTGTCCTAGGGACCCTGTCCACTGTTCACCAGTCTTTTCTTCATATACATGCACACATTCATCCGTATTAAATTCTGATGACTCTGCTTTTGACATCTCCAGTCTGGTTTTCACTGGTATTTTAGTACTAGATTTAGCTACCCAGAAGGTTCCCATGAGATGTTTCTTCTTGACCCTCAGTACGTCAGGAATTGGAATCATCATCTCACACATCACCTTCCCACCTTCCAAATTCTGTCACATTCTGTCAGTGCTTCTTTAATCTTTCAGCCTTTTTTTTTTAATTAGTCACCCTACAGTTCCTAGTGCTTTTCCATTTTTGCAAATACCATTTTCAGTTCTCAGCCCATCTTCCCAGTTCCCAGTGATACCACCTAAAACCAGCTCTGTGTTTTCTTTTTTCTTTTTTTTTTTTTAAAGATTTTATTTATTTATTTGACAGAGAGAGATCACAGTAGACAGAGGCAGGCAGAGAGAGAGAGAGAGAGAGAGGGAAGCAGGCTCCCTGCTGAGCAGAGAGCCCGATGTGGAGCTCGATCCCAGGACCCCGAGATCATGACCCAAGCCGAAGGCAGTGGCTTAACCCACTGAGCCACCCAGGCGCCCCAGCTCTGTGTTTTCTTATGCCTGAATTATGATGATTTTATGCCTGATTGAATTCACTGATTCCATTCTTTCTATTAGTTCACTTTCAGTGACCCTTTGGATGTCTTCTTTGGAAAACTGTCTATTCAGTTCCTCTACCCATTTTTTTAATTGGTTTGCTTGCTTTGTGCCAATGAGTTGTATGAGCTCTTTATAGCATTTGGATATTAACTCCTGATCAGATACATGACTTGCAAAGATCTTGCCTCGCGTTGGCTGCTTTTTCATTTTGTGGATTGTTTCGTGTGCTTTGCATTTCTGACATCTTCTTGATGTCTCCCCCATTTGTCAGTGTTCCATGAATCTGACTCTTTATTCTGTGCCCTCTCCCTTCAGATGACACGTTTGCACCTGGTGATCAGATTTTGGTGTTCTGCGAAATGGCTCACTTAGTCCAACATAGATGGCTCTTTCTTTTTCCTCACCTTTCTTTCCACAGGAACTCAGAAAAAAAAGCACAGATTTTAGACTGTGTGGTAACTGAGGCCTTTACCTCCATGTTTTTAGAAAGTTCTCAGAATGAAGAGCCTGTTTCTTACTGTACAATTCAGGGGCTGATCAGAAGAGAGAAACTGTAGAAATTTGAACAGGGAAAGCATAACATAAAGAATTATTGGGGCGCCTGGGTGGCTCAGTCGTTAAGCCTCTGCCTTCAGCTCAGGTCAGTGATCCCAGGGTGCTGGGATGGAGCTCCGCATCGGGCTCCCTGCTCAGCGGGAAGCCTGTATCTCCCTCTCCCTCTGCCCCTGCTTGTGTTCCCTCTCTCTGTGTCTCTCTCTGTCAATAAATAAATAAAATCTTAAAAAAGAAAGAATCGTTAGCTCTGGTGAGACAGAAGTGACAAGAGATTAGTAGAAGTAAAGAGAAATCTAAAGAATAAAGGAACCACAGATAAAAGGAACAGCCAGTGCCTCTAGGGCTGCAATGGGCCACCCACCAAAGAGCCTCCCCTGCTTCCCAGAGAAGAATCCAGACCTTGTTGAGGGGCCCAGCCATGGCCCAGAGCATGGAAGAAGAGTTACTGAGGTGCCATGCTGGTGGAACTTGCTGGAAAGCCGCCCCCCGGCATTCCAGAGAAAGCTCAACACTGCGACAGATATTTATTTATTTATTTTTAAAGATTTTAATTATTTATTTTACAGACAGAGATCACACGTAGGCAGAGAGGCAGCAGAGAGAGAGAGGAAAGCAAGCTCCCTGCTGAGCAGAGAGCCCGATGCGGGGCTCAATCCCAGGATCCTGGGATCATGACCTGAGCTGAAGGCAGAGGCTTTAACCCACTGAGCCACCCAGGCGCCCCTGTGACAGATATTTAAAGAGACTCAGATCCGTCTTTGTAGAGCAGGCAAAGAGGCATGAATTTAGAGTTGAGAGGCAATAAGTTGGTTCCCAGCGCCTTTATTCTTCCGTTTTTCTGAAGCAAAGCATGGGAACTATTTGGCAAACTTAAATTAATTGAATTTGGGGAGATCGGCAGAGGAGAATCTCTTGCTGTCTTTCGGAAGGAGGTTTCAAGTGTTGGCTCAGGGGAATTCCAAGGACCATAGATTATGTTTGGAAAGGGACAACAGTTGCATGAAATATTAACAGTTTCAGTCTTTGTGTTCTGAAAGAAAACCATGCCAAATTCAGTATCGGTATGAGTGGTACCATGTCTGATTTGTAAATTCATAGCAGATATAACCTCCGGAGAAGTGTCCTAAAATCAGAGCTAACATTTTGAATATGCGGAGGAGCAAAACAACAAGCTCGGTGTCAATGTATAGCGTCTTTTGTATAAGAAGTCTGAGATGAATGGATTTGTTCAGCAAGTCAACTCTGATCGCAGTGGGCCATTCGGGGACCACGTTCCAAGTCCCTGCTCTGACATCTCCTAGGGCATCGTGGTCAGCTGTGTGGTGAATGTTGGGTCATTGTTGAGTCCGGTGGGAAGGAGAGAGGGGAAGAGTGTTGCCCACCGTCTTGAGTCCCAGGCTGGCAGCTGCACATGTCATTTCTACTCATACTCCACTGGTGAAGACAAAGGAAGGCTGGTAAATGGGTTGCCCAGCTACCTTCTAGTACTATAAAAGAAGAGGCAAATGCAAATCTTTTTTTGGTGGATAGCTTGCAGTTTCTGCCGTAGGTGGCTTTCCCTGGCCTATTTGACACTTGTTGAAAGCATCGATCCCTGGGACCAAGGAAAACTTGCAGCTGGCCGAGAGTTGGAGCACGGTATCTATTTACTATTTAGATGGCTGATGTTGGCACCGTGTTTCCTATAGATGTAGAAGAATGGGTCTTTGAGGCACATAAAGTTTATGCTGGTCCTCCTATGGTTCAGAGGGAAAAGCGAGAGAAGGCAAAGAGATTAGAACAGTTTAGAGCTGATAAGTAATGAAGACATATAATCTGAACTCTCTCTCCCCTGTCAGGATTCCCCATGACAGACTTGGGTTTCTTCTTCTGGTTAGACTCACTGGCCAGACCTCCTCCATAGTGGATATGAATCCCCAGGATTCAAATCCCATATCTCTCATTTATTTAGCAATTTGATTTCAGCAAGATGCATAACCTGTGTGCTGCTGTTTTCTCATCTGTGAAACATGGTTGGTAATGATGGCCGCCTTTTAAGGTTTAGTGAGGATTAAATGAGCTATTACGTGTGAAGCACTGGGAACGGGGCCTGGCGCATTATAAATGGTATATAATTATTTCGTATGTAGTAAGCACTTTAGAAGAATTTTATATGACTACATTATTGCTATTTTCATGATTGTCATATGGACTCTTCCATTTCTGTGTTCACCTCATCTGAACTACATGTACCCCCTACCCTCTGCTAATTGTCCTTCGTGTCATTTTTACTTTTTTCTTTTTCTTTTTAGACGAGGATATTGGGGAAAAGCAACACCAGAGAATTGCTGGGAAAGTTTCATTGCACTGTGAGAAATTTGGTCAACTCATAGGAGAAGATCCATTGTGTTCCATTTTAGAAGAATTGTGGCAAAACAAAAGCCAGCTAGAGAGATATCGGGAGAGCCAGAATCACCCTTTAAGTCATGTGAAAGTATTGATTAAGGAGAGGGGCTATGAATGTAAGAATACTGAAAAAATAATCCATGTGAGTACCAAGCTTGTTCCTTCAATTAAAAGTCTCCGTAACTATGACCCATTTAGAAAGAGTCTGAAGCATACTTTAAACTTACACAATCATAATAAAAGCAATGCAACAAAGAAGCTTGATAAGATTTTTGGAAATGATAACAATTTTGCCCCTAGCTCTTCGTCTACTGAGACTGCGAATACAGGGGCAAATTCCTGTGACATTAATCAATGTGAAAAACATCTTGGCAACAAACAAGTTCTCATCCACCATCAGACAATTCAGACTGGGGAGCAACTGCCTGTATGTACTGAGTGTGTAAAGGGCTTCTCCCAAAAGCCCCATCTCTCTGAGCATCAGAGAATTCATGCTGAGGAAAAATCCCATGAATGTCATAAAAGCCACAAAGCCCTCAGGCAGAAGCCACCAATTAATGTACCTCAAAGTGCTTATACAGGAGACAAACCCTATATATGTACTCAATGTGAGAAGGCCTTTACTCTCAAGTCGAACCTCATTACACATCAGAAAATTCATACTGGGCAGAAACCCTATAAATGCAGTGAATGCGGAAAAGCCTTTTTCCACAGATCCTATCTCTTTAGACACATGAGAATCCATACGGGAGAAAAACCGTACGAATGCCGTGAGTGTGGAAGAGGCTTCTCCCAGAATTCAGACCTTACCATACATCAGAAAACTCATACCGGAGAGAAACACTACGCGTGCGGCGAATGCGGGAAAGCCTTCACCAGAAAGTCAGCACTCAGAATGCATCAGAGAATCCACACAGGAGAGAAACCCTACGTATGCCCTGAATGCGGGAAGGCCTTCATCCAGAAATCCCACTTCAACACACATCAGAGAATCCATACCGGCGAGAAGCCTTACGAATGTGGCGAGTGCGGAAAGTCGTTCACGAAGAAGTCACAGCTCCACGTGCATCAAAGAATTCACACAGGGGAAAAACCCTATATATGTACAGAATGTGGAAAGGTCTTCACTCACAGGACAAACCTCACTACACATCAGAAAACTCATACTGGAGAGAAACCCTATACATGTGCTGAATGTGGCAAGGCTTTCAGCGACCAGTCAAATCTCATTAAACACCAGAAAACGCACACTGGAGAGAAACCCTATAAATGCAACGGCTGTGGAAAAGCCTTCATATGGAAATCACGCCTCAAAATACATCAGAAATCTCATATTGGAGAGAGACACTATGAATGCAACGAATGTGGGAAAGCCTTCATCCAGAAATCGACACTAAGTGTGCATCAGAGAATCCACACAGGAGAGAAACCCTACGTTTGTCCTGAATGCGGGAAGGCCTTCATCCAGAAATCCCACTTCATTGCACATCATAGAATCCATACCGGAGAGAAGCCTTACGAGTGCAGCGACTGTGGCAAGTGCTTTACTAAGAAGTCACAGCTTCGTGTGCATCAGAAGATTCACACAGGGGAGAAACCCAATATATGCGCCGAATGTGGAAAAGCCTTCACTGACAGGTCCAATCTGATAACACATCAGAAAATCCACACTAGAGAGAAACCCTATAAATGCAGTGACTGCGGAAAAACCTTCACTTGGAAGTCCCGCCTCACTATCCATCAGAAATCTCATACTGGAGAGAGACACTATGAATGCAGTAAATGCGGGAAAGCCTTCATCCAGAAAGCAACATTAAGTATGCATCAGATTATTCATACCGGAAAGAAACCCTATGCCTGTATAGAATGTCAGAAGGCCTTCACCGACAGATCGAATCTCATTAAGCACCAGAAAACTCACAGTGGAGAAAAAGTATAAAGCCACTGACTGAAAAGGCCTTCAGCTGGGACTCAGACCTGGGGATACATCAGAGGTCTCAGAGTAGGGAAAGAGGAGTGCCAGATGCTGTGATCGGGGGTGCGGGGTTGGGGCGGGGGGAGTGGGCATGATAGCCCACAGCTTAAGTGAACAGAAGGCAAACAAAGCCAAGTGTCCTTCAGCCAGTTGGAAATAGAAACACCGGCACCACCAGTTGACATGCAATTATATGCAGAGGGAAACACTTTGATAAGGGATTTGAGCAATAGTCCTTTTTGGTTGCATGATTCACGTGGAGACCCTCAAGCTCCTGCAAACAGTAGAAAGACAGACCCAGGAGATGACTTGTAATCTCTTATGTTTCACTTTTTGGATTGTATAAATTCAGCACTGATTGGTTCTTCATATCCTGGGATGCGGAAGTGCTTAATACCGGCCACCTTGTTTTCAAGTGTCTAGGGTGGGGAGAAGAGTTTTCATTGTCCAGAGACCCTTGGAGCACCAGAGTCAAGGCAAAAACCTACTGGGGAAGACAGATCTGTGAGGAGAAGCCAGAAGTTTTTGTGATCGTTGACATTTAAGACCCAGAAAAGATGGCATGAGGCACTGTTCTTTCTCTTCCCTTCTCCAGAGTATATTTTTAAAAAATGAAATGGAATTTTAATGACTTTATATATTGGCAAATTAGGCATAGCTGTAGCCAGTGTTACAGGAATATAGTTATTAAACCTTACAGACATCTAAAGATGGCAGTTTGCTCGCTCATTAATTCCATGCTGTGGCCACAGGTGATTCACATCCAAAAAAGGTATGCATACTTTCTGACCTGTACACCAAAAGCTAGCTTTCATGTAGCCCACAGACCACAGACTTCTCATCCTCTTAGGAACTGACCCTAAAACAATGAAACTGAGCCACGACATACTGGACTTCTGGTCTCATCTACTGAAGCTTCTGCTTTCTTTAGGTTTCCTGTTTAAAAGGAGTGGTTGATTAATTGGGTTTCAAGACATGACATTTTGATTTTGTTTTTCTTTCAATTTGGTAAGATACATTCATTTTCTACATGCACATGAAGAGCAGAATTGTGTTGATTGCTATGGGATAAAGTCATGTTGCACTGTATTTGTTTAGTCTAAGATATGATTATAGTTGAACAGCTAGAAGACTTCTCTAGAAAGAGCACTGGTTTTTTTAAAGCACTGATCTATAGACACTTTCTCATTTTCCCTTAAATGTTTTTTATGATACTCATAAGAAAAGGGGCTTTCTAGCATGCAAATTTACCTGATTTTTAAACCTTTTTATTAACGTATAATGCAGACAGAAAATGCAGCTGTCGTAAGCAAACAGCTCAATGAATTCTTACAAACTGAACACACTCAGATCAAGAAACACAACATGCCCAACACACCAGAAGCATTCCCTGTGCTCCCTTCCAAACTTCGTCCCCTCAACTCCCAAGATAAACACTATCTAACAGCATCGACTAGTTTTGTCTGTTGGTATTTTATGTAAATTGAGTCAAACAATTAAATATATTTCATATTTTAATAATATACTCTTTAGTGTCTATGTTTCCTTCACATTGTAAATGTAAAGGTTCATCCACTTTATTGAATGCCCTTGTAGAACATTCATTCATTCTCATGGTCACGATATATTCCATTGTGTGAATTGTATACCACAGTATGTCTGTTCCACTGTTGGTGGACATTTGGGTTGTCTGCAGCCTCGGGCTATTGGAAATAGTGGTGCTATAAATATTTTAGTATCCATTTATTAATGACCATATTTATGAATCTCTGTTAGGCATATTTCTAGGCTTTGAACCGCCAAATCGTACAGTATCCATATGCTCAGCTTTAGTTTATAAAACTAGTTTTCTAATGGGGCTGTACTAATATACACTCTCACCAGTGCAGTAGATGAGTTGCTCCAGGTTCTTGCCAACACTTGGTATTTTCCATCTTTTTTTTTCTTTAGCTTATATATTCTCCATAATGTTAGTATCTAGTGATATCTCCGTGTGATTATAATTTTTATTTCTTCCAATTCCACCATAGCAGCTCCCCAAGACAGTTAACTGATATCTGAGATCTGAGACCCAGGCGTGGTTCTCACATTCCTCACAGTAAGCAAATACTAAGTTTAAATCGTCCCACACAAAAAAGCCTAAAGCCAGATGGTTTAACTGGTTAATTGCATTAAACATTTATAGGAGAAATAATATCGAAGCTCCAAAAAAATCCTTCAAAAAATAGAGGAAGAAGGAACACTCCCCAAGTCTGTGAGGCCAGTATTACCCTGATACTTAAGCTATACCAACACATAAACACATAACAACAACAACAAACTACAGATCAGTATTCCTCATGAATATAGACATAAAAATCCTCAACAAAATATTAGCAAATTGAACCTAACAACATATAAAAGAATTATACATCATGACCAAGTGAGGTTTAGTCCATGATGCAAGGCTGCATCAACATTCAAAAATTATTCAATGTAATGATATTAATAAGCTGAGGAAGAAAAGTCACATGATCTGCAGATTCAATACGATTTTATCAAACTTTGAGCAGGCTTTCTTCTCTCCAAAACTGATAAACTATCTTCAAAATATAGAGAGATGTAGAAAGGATCAAGAATAGCAAAAAGGTTGGGGCACCTGGGTGGCTCAGTGGGTTAAGCCTCTGCCTTCTGCTCGGGTCATGATCTCAGGATCCTGGGATCAAGCCCCGCATCGAGCCCCGCATCAGGCCCTCTGCTCGGTGGGGAGCCTGCTTCTCTCTCTCTGCCTGCCTCTCTGCCTACTTGTGATCTCTCTCTGTCAAATAAATAAATAAAATGTAAAAAAAAAAAAGAATAGCAAAAAGGAATCTGCCAAAGAACAAAGAGGGAGGACATTTGCCAGCCAATTTCAAAATTATTATAAAGCTACAGTAATTGAGATAGTACGGTACTGGCATGGGGATAGATCAACAGAACAGAATAGAGTCCAGTAATAAACCCTCATGCTTACTGTAAACATCTTGTTTCTACTTTATTTTTTTTCCACAAAAGAGCGAAAGCAATTCAATGGGGAAAGAAAACCCTTTCAACATTTGGTGGAGGGATAATTGGATATTCACATGCAAAAAGATAAATTTAAATCTTGCTTCACACCATCCTAACAACTCAAAATGGACCACAGACATAAATATAAAAGCTAAAACTATAAAGGTTTTAGCAGAAAACAGGAGAAAAGTCTCTGTGACCTTGTTTTAGATGAGAAATTCTTAGATAGGACACCATGAACATGATCCATAAGGAAAAAAATAATAAACTGGACTTTAGCAAACCCCAAACCGAAAAGGTTTGTCCTTCAAAAGACACCACCAAGGATGGGGCGCCTGAGTGGCTCAGTGGGTTAAAGCCTCTACCTTCGGCCTGGGTCATGGTCCCAGGGTCCCAGGATTGAGCCCCGTATTGGGCTTTCCGCTTGGCAGTGAGCCTGCTTCCCTTCCCCTCTCTCTCTGCCTGCCTCTCTGCCTACTTGTGATCTCTGTCTGTCAAATAAATAAATAAAATCTTTTTAAAAAATTTTTGATTCAAAAGACACCACCAAGGAAATGAAAAGACAAAACAGACTGGGAGAGGGGCACCTGGGTGGCTCAGTGGGTTAAGCCGCTGCCTTCGGCTCGGGTCGTGATCTCAGGGTCCTGGGATCGAGCCCCGCATCGGGCTCTCTGCTCAGCAGGGAGCCTGCTTCCTCCTCTCTCTCTGTCTGCCTCTCTGCCTGCTTGTGATCTCTCTCTGTCAAATAAATAAATAAAATCTTTAAAAAAAAAAACAGACTGGGAGAAAACATTTATAAGTCCTATGTCTGATAAAAGACTTGTATGCAGGATATATTAAAAACTCCTACAACTTGATAAAAAAAAAAAAGACAAACAACCCATTTTAAAAATGGGCCAAAGACTTAAAGAGAACTTAAGCACATAAAGAAATGCCCAACATCATTGGTCATTAGGGAAATTCTCATGAAAACCACAATAAGATACCCCTTTGCTTGCACTAAAATGGTTATAATAAAAAAAGACTATCATAACAAATGTTGGCAAATATATGGAGAGTTAGGAACTTTCATACATTTCTGGTGTAAATGCATTAAAGTAGTATAGCCACTTAAGAAAAGTGTCAGTTTCCTTAAAAGTTCATCATAAATTTACCATAGGACCCAGCGATGTCACTCCTAGGATCTGCCCAAAAGATACATAACGTGTTCACGCAAACACTTGCACTGGTTCATAACAGCATTATTTATACCAGGCAAAGAGTAGAGACAATCCAAATGTTCATCAACTGGCAAATGATACACAAAATATGGTGCATTCAATAATAAAAAGAAACAAACACTAATAAACACTACAGCATGGGTGAACCTCAAAAATACTATGCTAAATGAAAGAAGCAAGACACAAAAGATCAAGATCATATTCATATATTGAATTTCTATGGAATTTCTGGAAAAATCTATAAAGATCTGTAGACTAGTGGTTGTCTGGGGGTGAAAATGGGAATGGTCATTAACTGTAAATTAGTACAGGAATCTTACTGGGGTGATATAGATGTCCTAGAACTTGATTGTGGTGATGGTTTCATGACTGGGTAAATTTAATGAAGGTCATTGAGGTGATCCTTAATTCCATTCCTTTTGAACATCTGGATTCCCTGCCATACCATCTGTAGCCCCCTACAGCTAGAATGAACTGTTGTTGTCTTGGAGCCTGTTGTACATTTAAGAATAAACTTTTGTTTAAAAAAAGTCCTTGAACTGTACAATTTAAATAATGGAATGTAAATTATACCTCAATAAAGTTGTTTCTTTTTCAGAGTTTGTTTTGCCTGTTCTAGCTTCTTTACATTTCCATA